AGTGAGTGACATCGCTCCTCTCTCCCTGCCAGCAAATCTTTGGAAGGCGCTTTGAGCCAGGATGCCTCTACTCTGTCATCTGCGTGGCTCGATCCTGTGTTCGGTGCTCCTTGGTGTGGTGGCTTTGAAAGACCCCAGCAGCAGCTAGGGGATGGGTAAGGGATCTAAGGAATACATTCCCTTAGCTGTGGTGACAGCGCTGGAGACAGGGCTTGGGTCCGGCTAAAGACATCTGGACGCCTTGATTTGGATGTCAGTGCAGGACGACTCTGGCTCTGTATGTTCAAAATCCCATCCACTATTCATTATTGTACCAAGAATTTCTTGAGTCAGAAAGTGGCTTTACTTTGCAATAAGACAGGACCATCTGGGCCTGCTTTCTGTTACAGTTACAGATTGGGCAATGCATCAATCATAAAGTGGCTTTTTTGGAGCGCCATGGGGGTTTGAATTTTCACATCACTCTGACTATGGATTTTGCATGTTCCTCCCATGTCAGATGCATTTCCTCCTATAGTCAAAAGACTTGGGTGAACTGATGTCAGTAAATGACCTGTAGTGTGTATGATTCTGTGTAAGCCTTGTGAAGGACTGGGATCCCAACCAGGGTGGTCCCATACCTTGTCCCCTATGCTATGCTGGATGGGCTCCTGCTCTTCTCCCGTGACCCTGTACTGTAGTTACTTCTTGAATCGTCGTAGCTCCATGTTTTGTATGACCGGATTGAACCTGAACCCCCTGTTCTTTAGAATAAGAAAATACTCACTTTTTTCTTGCAGGATTCTGCTAAATTCATGTCGTTTAAGGCTGAAATGGGCGTAGCGTCTGGCAAACTTTACCCTTTCGTTTTTCAGACCTTGAACACATGTTTATTCACGGAGCTGGAATGTGGCATGCTGGTGTTTGTGAGGTCAGTCAGCCAGGAGGCCAACTGAATCATCCCCTTGTTTCACTGTTGCGCCACTGTGTTGGTGGACGCCATGTTTCAGCTTGAGCGGAAAGGATTCCCTGAAGTATTTTATGGAACCCCAGTTGGGTCTGTATACTGCAATGTAAGTCACCTCATTAAGCTAAATCATACTATGACTAATCTTTACATTAGCCACTTAATATGTATATTTTTCCACACAATTTAAAATAATCACAGAAAAACCTTCCTGTATGGAAGTAGTGAAATAATCCTACAGTATATTTGCTGACCCTTCATTGGCTACCCTCATGTTGCTCCCCATACACATAGTACGTGGGTGACAGCAGGCTTGGGGCTCACACTGCAGGGTTAGCCAGCATGCAGCACCCCTAGAGCTGGGGGGGGGATCCCAATGGACATGTATCTGACTATTCTGCCAAGGTTTGAACTGGTGACCTTCCGATCACAGGCACAGAGGCTTAGCCCACTGAGCCACTCACTGCCCCCTGGTGTCACATAGTCTTTTTATATTTTGCACATTGCACAATGTGTACAGTTAGGAGAGAAGATCTCATTTCATATCACACTGACGCTTTTGTGTAAAGATACATTTGAGTGTGGGCCAGAGAGCGGCGCCAGCCAGGGTTCCTGCAGCAGGGTTGATGTTACACGGCTGACCGTGGGATTCAAACAAGCAACCTTCTGGACATAGGGACCCACTGAGCTACACATTGAAGATAAAATCTGAAGCTAAGCAGATCTTCTGATTAAGTGCTATGACAAGAAGTGAGGATCTTTTGATGCTTTCTTCTTAAAGAGGTCATATTCTTGGTAGGTCTTGACCTATGGTGTTAGGAAATACTTGTGTTAAGAATATAATGATTACCAGGAAGTAATTTAAATATATATGTCAGTAATTAATACAATTGATCTACCGGTGTTTTCCTTTCTCAGTCCTTCTCCATGTTTAGTTAGATATGGTGGGTGCTTTGCTCTTAGTTAGTTGTCCCAAATGGTTAAATTGAAGTTGCTCAATATCCGTGGAATAGTTAACTCTTGTGAAAGAGCACAAAATGTTCCTAAACAAGTATTTATCCTAATTTGATATTTTTCCGGTACTAATCCTTTGCGTTGTACTTCGTAAAACATGCATGAAACGGTTTTGTCTGAAATTGCGGGCATGTAAAGTTCTGTAATTGCTTGTGTCATTGACGCATCTGATTGTATCGGGGTGTGGACAGCATCTAGGATGCGGCAGACTAAATACTGCACTCCCAGTACGCCGCAGCACGGAGTCACAAGGCCCCAGACGCTAATCAGACAGGGCGTGGCTGCCATTTCGCCGGCTTGCTCTCCATCTGCCCCTAATTCTCTGCATAGGAAGCAGAGACTCCGAAGGACATGGTGGGTCCCTGTCACAGGACGGCTTGTGTTATCCATAGCCGGGGGTGGGCCCCGTTTGAAGAACGGTCAAGCAGAGGGCTCCCAGATCAGTCAAGCAGAGGCTCTGTCCCACCCAGTCCAGGAAATGACCATTTTCCTTAAGCATTCCCAGCCTCTTATGGCATTTGGGCTCAAGGTGGCCAGCTCACTGTCAGCGTGACCCCAAAGCCCTGGGCTAAATATACCAGTCTGCTCTTCACTTTATCTCTTTTATCTTCATGCCTGTGGTTAATGTAGATCTCACCACCCCATTTTTCTGAAAGCTTCCCTAATTCACATACTGTAAATGTGGGTATTTTAATCTGGATACAAGGCTTAATAACTTTTTTTTTTTACTACATTTAGGATTGACCATTGATATCATGGATGAGTTGTTCTGTTTTACGTTACTGTGTAATCCTTGTTTTGACACGTTAGTTCTTTAACTACCAATGTGTTCCTAGACAACCTCTCTTTAATTTTCTGAAAACAGAAGGGAATTAATAAAGTATGTTTCCTGTGAGCATTCTAAATATGCCCATTATGTCATATATGTTTGAGCTAAAATACTGTCAGTTGTACCAGTTGCGAGAGTTATGACAGTAAGGTCAGCATGTGTGAGATTTTTTTCAGTATACAAGGTATTCCAAAAGATCAAATGGAGACCAGGAATGTTGCAAAACTACCTCAAAATCCTCTGTTTGAGCATATTGCTTTCAGCTTTGCAGAATTTGAGAATGAACCAGAGTTGTAACTCTCAGCGAACACAAGAGGCACACCCAGGAGCCCCTGTAAATTCATAAGAGAGTCCTATTCACACCCAGCTATGGGGGGGGGGGTTGTCCAGCCCAAGCCTGGGCAAATCCATCAATATTCCTTCCCCCAGCTTATCCTGTTCAGGGTAACGGGGCAAATGCCAACCAATTTTTATTATTGTAAATGAAGAAAGACAGATGGCAAGGTCTAAAAGCTATTCTCAAGATAAGTGAAACCCAAATATGTGAAAGACATCAGAAATAACTACCAAAACAATAAGCTCCAGTTTATTTAAATGTCTTTATGGGAACTTGATGTTGCATCAAAAGAACTAAACATTTTGCATCACCTGGGGAAACCCTCAAGGAGTTACACACCATGACCACAAGACACCAAGCAAACATGTAACCAACACGTTTCTGTAATGTGGTTTTTCCACTATTTAGCACTAAATGGCAGCTGATAATGAAGGAGCTAAAATAGGATAGCAAGATACTGTTCTGTATTATTGAGAACTAAGAAAACAACAAGTAAAAATTTTCTCAGGAAAAATAACTACTAACATAAATGCTACATCACATGTAAAATGCATAAATCCTAGACACCTGCAGAAGTTTATCTCAGGCTAAGCACCGCCCCCACACCCCCCACAATACAAACATATGACAGGACTGTATTTTACCAAGTGACAGGAAGAGGAAGAGAAAAACCAGTGTTACAATCGAGAGCAGATTAGATTTAAGTTCATGTTTAGTGTTTCTTGCATTTGGAGATGGGTTTCTTAAAAAGCAGGAGTATACCCTGTTCTGCAAAGTACAGTAGATGTGACAGCTCCATTTGACTGATACTGATAACCAATATATTTTTCTCTAATATCACTAATACTGGTAGCTGGCTAATCTCAGAACTACATNGGGGGGGGGGGGGGGTTGCCTGTGGTGACACATGCCAAGCTTCCCATTTATTATTTTGTGGAAGATGAAAGATTAATATACGGGCCAGACTTAAAAATGAATTATGAACATGTCTCAGCTGGTGCTTTGAGGCCTCATTAATGGTGAATGAGCCGACAAAATCCCTACGGATTGACGGCTGACCATCCAAAGCATCCATCTCCATTCTTTTAGCAGTCATATCATTAGCTTTGGTACTGCTAACACTGAATATTGTGAAAGTTTAAATGTCAGCTGGTCGGTATTGTGCATTTCCATGTATTGACTGTACCGTCTTCATATAGGTGATATCTAATGTAAATTAATAATGAAGAGAGAAACAGGGGTACACTGCTCAAGAATTCAATTCTCAGTGAAAAAAATGCCCAGAATCTTGCAGCCTTACTCCTCTATTTACCACTCTGTCGCAGACTTAATGAGAAAAGTAAACATGTTAAATTAGGCAAATAATAGCAGGCGTAAATGCCAAGGCCACGCAGAATGCTGAGAGGCGTACAGCTGCGGGCGCCCATGAAGCCAGAGGCATCACAACAGCTGCCCTCATTTTAACATTCTAATCCTTTGCCGTGAAGCGCCTGCCATTGTAGATTGCTGCTTTTTGAAGCCCCTTGTATAGCTTGTGTTTCCCCTAATAGTGTTTCCTAATAAAAATTTAACTACAGTGCTCATTTGTGTTGGGTGAGACTTTAGTCATCTGCTCGTATTTGCTAACCGAGAAACGTACATTGGAAAATTGTATGCTTTAACACTAATTTGTTGTCTGTCCAGACATGAGATCGCATCATTCTTCCTGTTTCTTTTTAAAAGGCCTCTTTTAAAAATTCACCACACTAAAGGAATGAATAAACAAGTTGAGCTTACGCAGTCATGCAGGGCTGGGATCTATTTCCTAATGGTTTCCTACGTTTTTTTTTTTTTTTTCCTGAGGTGTGACATGCTTCACTTGTGTTTTCCTTCAGGTCTCTACGTCAGCCTTCCCAGTAGTGGTGAAGATGGGACACGCCCACGCTGGCATGGGAAAGGTGAGGCCTGTGACACTGCTCTGTGGCCACGCCCCACTGACATCACTCTCCCACCTCCCATTGGCTAAGAGGGTCGCTCACAGCTTCCAAGGTCAAAGGCAGAGCTAGCAAAGCTGATGGAGACATGGTGTTAGCGTTACGCTAAATTCCGAATCAGGTTCCAGTTGACACATGTTGCTTGTGCTCAGGGAAAAATCGAGAGACCTACATTTGAAGGACTGCCATCATTCTAGCTGCTATCTCACCTGTTCCATGTGCAACCACTGTTTGTTTTTTTGTCTACATTTGTCATAGATTGGAGAAAGTTGATGGTATGTCCCAATAAAACATTTTGCAAATTCAATTTATACAAAGCACATTTATAGTAATACAGAGCATACAGTACTGTGCAAAAGTCTTAGGCAGTCATAGAAAATGATGTTTAAATAATATTCATGTTGGTGTAAAAGTTTGCTATTATATCTATTAAAATGTGTTAGCCTAACCATTTAAAAACCTCTCCTAAATCACCCCAGTATTTGCAGCAACTGTACAATACACTAATATATTTTTTGATGCAACCACTACCTTACTAACTCTTTAAACTTTTTAAGTGAGCTTGTGGTGAAATTTAACAAATACACAGAATGGCTGAGGTGCCCATGAGGAGAGGTTTGGAGGTGCTTCTCCCAAACTAGACCAATAGGGACAAGGTTAAAACCAAACCCTGTACACCATTAGAACAGCTTGATAGCAGTAGGGCCATTTAGAGTAAAGTATCTCTGAAATACTAGGTCAACCTAAATGAAAAGGTTTAGAAGATCTTGTAAATTTGATCCTTTTTAAAAAAAAATAGTCTGCTGGTTCTTGCTCTGTGAAAGTTTAATGTTTTAGAAAGACATTGCTTGCAATGCGCTGCACAAATACGGATTTCAAACAGCAGAACTGACCGAGCCCTCTATGCTTTTGACTCCAAGGCATGTCATGGGAAGGAAGACATCTTAGATTTTATTTCTTAACCAACTGATTATTTCATGGGAAAATTTTATGTCCTGGGGAAAGAGCCGGACCCTTCCTGAGACCTCTGGTTTATGTGGTGCCATCGGCAGCCACCGTGCACGCAGAAGGACACCTTTCTGATGTCGGATTGCTGCCGTCGGAATGCATGACTGGAATGGGGCTCTGAATTCTCCCTTCGACACATTCCACTGACCCCCACCACCCCCCATTTACTGCTTCTAGGTATTGAGCCAAAAACTAGAAGCATCACCACCACTCAAGTTGCAGGCCCCGGCTATGGACCAGCCAAAAATGTGAGAGGGAATTTGTTTTCCCATTCACCTTGTGTGGATTCTGATGGAACAACAGCTGAATTATCGCATTCCAGTACCTCAGGGCAATGGAACTGTTGTAAATGACAGTGAAGATTACAGATTTAGCATGTGACTGTTCCCTGAGGCGGTATGTTAGGGGAATATTGTATCACTCCAGTTAAGCAGATCATTAGCAAGTGTGCCTTATACACACACACACACACACACACACACACATGCGTGCTTATGGAGGGCAGGTGTGAAAACAACAGCCCTCAACACCCAATACTCTCGAGGACTAGCTTGTCCAGAAAAGCTCTTTCACACGCCATCCACAGAGCAGCGCTTCCCATTGGTTCATTTCTCTCGGCCAGTAAGCCATCTTTCCCCATGTGACCCAGTGGAGCCATAGAGTTCCAGCTGCCAAGCACTCCAGCTCTGCTTTGGTGCTCTGCGTAGGCCGTCACATCGGCAACGTCACTGGAGCCTGAGAGGAGCCTTGGCCTGGAGCTACAGCGTCGCACATCATACCGTCTTTTGCTGTCACGCTTCGGTTTTGGAAGTCCATGTGAGCAGCACTTGAAGCTCGTTGGCTCTCCTCAGTCGGTTACCAGTATGTCACAAAAAGCGAATCGAGGGCTCCGATCACTCGTGGGAGCGAATTCCTTTTTATTCTTCTTTGCATAATGTCATTTTGCCTGAGTTGGTTTCAGGCTCTTGCGTCAACTACAGTACAACCCGAAGAATCCGCCATGAAATAATGCTGTAGGAATTAGCGAAACCTTGAAGGATGTAAGCATATTCATTAGATTTTCTTCCAGGAAATGTACATACCACACACTAAAAGTGACGTCAGTTTTACAGCTCTGACAGTAGGGTGTTTAAGACAGTGAAGCTCTATACAGTAGGTCTGAACCAGCATGGTGACGTGGTGTTTCAGGGGGCTGTTAGTATTTGTACTATGAGTAACAATTCTCATGCTGGGGAGGCTGAGGTCAGGGTCGCCCCAAGGGACCTCTTCTCCGGAAGAGGCTTTTTGTTCCGCATTGAATGAGTCTTGTTACCCCTTACTCACCACTGCTACCTATGTGGGTGTGAGGACCCACGATCTCTCATCCACAGCGCTCTTGTGGTGGCTCCCAGTCATTTCCAAGAAAAGGGAGGTGATTCATAGAAACAGTGCCTGTGGTAACAAACAGGCTAAATATAGCCTGAGAAAGCACAAAATCTTGGGACACCCCTACCCAGAGCCCCTCCCTAGCAGGAACCATGGGCAGGCTGGGACCAGCTCTTTAAGAATCTTCCATGGGACAGTTAAAATCAATCTCCATTTAGCTGTTTAGGCTGGAGTAACACCCTTTTCTTAGAGAGTGGACACAATTTATAAGCCTGTGCATGCAGTTGCATTTAGATTTATATCTCAAGCCTTTTAAAACAATATTTCCAGCTTTCAGAATATAATTAAGTTTCTTAATACCTGTGGATAATAGATTATGCTAATTCAAAACACTGGTTTTAGTTACTGAGTAGTACTAAATATATTGTGTGGGTATCACATTACTGAATCATAAATGGATATGGCAGATTGTGTTTGGAATTGCAGTGATTACAGTTGACTCTCTATACCCTGGACTTTAAGTGCAGCTCTGGCCGGTGCCATCTACAGAAGTTCTGTGATACAAGAGCAAAGTGAGGTCTGCTAGAGAAATTTGTTGGGTGCTTGTTGGGAAATTTGTTAAAGCTCAGTGTTGGGGTGATATCAGCCGCTGACTGCTGTCGCTATCTGAGGAAAGGGTGTGGAAGGTAGATTGGTGTCCAGGCTGTATTCCGTTCTGAATAATGATGCCTGTCATCTCTACAGGCATATTTGAGGAACACCTTCAGCCTCAGGCCCATTCATGATCGTTTCAGGTTCTCCTTTGTGTCTATTGCCATTTGTTTGCTTAAAGCTTCCAGTCTCCATGTCCCCAACCCCAATGGACACTGACCCAGCTCTCTTTCACCTGCGACTTTATTGTTCCATCAGCACTAAATCATGCACCGTCCATGTTTACAAGCCTAATCATACCTCATTATATCATCCACACTGTTATGTGCATATACTGTATAGTGATTTATGTATACAGTTGTTCGTTTGTTTATTTTAACAGTCTAATTCAATAGAAGTTAAATCTGTCTCACTTGTACCACCTGCAAGGTGCTTATTACGTGTAGATTGTCTTATTTGTTGTTTGCTTGTTTGAGGGTTGTTGTGCTGGGAGTTGTTGTAATGCCATGGGACAAAAGCAACTGCTCCCCCCCCCACCCCCGAACTAAAATAAGTTCTGCCTTATCTTATCCTGTGTGTTGTCTTGTGTTTCGGATTCCCAGAAACCGTTTCACTGTATCAGAAATTAAGATTCTACAATAAGATTCTACACTTGGCGCATTGTAAACCACAGAAATTGACACATTGGGCTTTATGTTAATTACTTGAAAGAATCACTCCATCTGATGAACAAATCCACATGACATGAAAATGGTCCACAGGATTTATTGGAGAAGATGTTTGAGGGTTTACAGTTCAACCCACAAGGAAAATACAGCAAAGCGAAAGCACTGTTTTGCAAGAACTAAAGATCAACAGAATTCAGGGTTTGTGTCTGGATTACATTTGGTTTTACGTGTGGCTGAGAACTAACTAGAGAATCCATCATTTTGCATGGCCATATGCGATCAAGGGAAGGGTGAGGTGAGTCAGCACAATTGACCACGGTCACCTGATCCATGTCCACCCTTCTCAAACTTGTCTAATGGCCATGTCTCTCACTTGTCTTTCCATCAGATTAAAGTCGAGAATCCCCATGACTTCCAGGATGTCACCAGCGTCGTTGCTTTGGCCAAAACCTACGCGACTTCTGAGCCTTATGTCGACTCCAAATATGACATCAGGATCCAGAAAATCGGAAATAATTACAAGGCCTATATGTAAGGACTGAGATGCAGTGTGTGGACAATATGTAGGGTTTGATCAACAGCAGCATGTTTGATTATTCAATTCAAATACTTACATTTTCTTTTAAACTGCACAACACCGCTGTCCCATTAAAGGCCTTCTAGTGAAGCCTAATTGCGTAGTTTTACTGGGGCTTAAAACTTAAGCTCTGTGAAGAGGATGTAGAAACGGCTTGTGAGTAGACATGCTTCAACTCAGGCATTCCTCCATACCTCCCCTGGCTCTCCCTCATTAGGTCAGCATGAGCTGCTTTGCTCTTCACTTGCTGTAGGGATCCCGCATTTCACCTTGGGAACGATACCGTCGCAAGATCACCACCAGGGGGCTAGATTCTCAGAGGGACTGGACTAGGCTTTACATCTGACCCAGTAGTTAAGTGGGGCATTGTGCAATTAAAGGGCTTCATTGAGTGTAAAAGATACTGGCACGCACAACTACACTGCTGTCCTCACAGTTAAATTACCAGCTAGTAAAAGTCCTTAAAAACTAGAAATAAAAGGCGAAATCAATCATGTCACGCACTGTCCCTTGAGCTGATATTTTCAATGGTACATCCATGTGCTTTATGCCCTTCAGTCACAAAGGCAAATGAGACTGGGATTTAAATTTGAAACATTATTGCAACTGAATAAATGGTATTATCTGTATATTAGTCATGGGGAGTAAAGTCCTAATCTTCTCATTTACACTGTTAATACTCTTCCTAGTGAAATGGGAATCCCAGCTCTTCAAATTCTATAATGATTTGAATGCATATATTTGTTTAAATGGGTAGAATAAGTAACGATCAGTACTTATTAACTCACGGCTTCTTTTTCCATGAATCACTTTATTTTTCCTGTGGAATAATTTGGGTTCAGCTTGAGGCACCAGAAACAGGTGAAGCTTTTTTTGATAAACACAGCGTCATTCTGTTCAGCTACAGAGAGGCCTCAAGTCTCTAGGGAAGACTGAAATAATTAACCCTTTGATCCTGGCCTGTTATTTGTCTGTAATCTGTCATTCTTTCCCTCCCATCTCCAACTCTCTAGGAGGAAATCCATATCAGGGAACTGGAAAGCCAACACTGGCTCTGCAATGCTGGAGCAGATCGCCATGACGGACAGGTCCGTCACTCCCTCGGTGTTCACGCGACCTTTCTTGCAAATGGCCTCTTACGTGCAGATCAAAGATCGTGGGGCATTTGGTAAAAGAAAACTCCCAGACGATGAAAAATCCACCGGTTCTTAATGACATCTTAAATTCGTAATTTCACTAGTCACGAATATTTTTTTAACTCTTTAAAGCACTACACAAGCAGGTGCTAAATTTGAGTGCCTTCAAATTCATTTTACACCCTTAATGAAACTAGGAGCTTTCCTTACAAAAGGGGAAAAGATGGATTGTATTTCTTTTTGGGGTAATAAGTAATCCTGGTGAGATATATGGTTTATGGTGCTTGTGTTTGCCACTATGGCAGGTACCGTCTATGGGTGGATGCCTGCTCAGAGATGTTTGGCGGCTTGGACATCTGTGCCGTGAAGGCCGTGCATGGGAAAGACGGCAGCGACTACATCATTGAGGTCAGTGCTTCTCTTGGAGGGCTGTTGGAATCTGCTGAACATTCAAACTTGGGTCACAGGAAGACATGAACCAATCTTTGTCAAGGGCCATCAATCGTGGCATCCATCTATCTTCCATACTGTAGCTGCTTATGCAACCTCAGTAGAAATAGAAATAGAAGTGACCATGCAACAGCAGACAGCTCAGTGCAGATTAAGTCCACTATTATTTATCCTGGTAAAATGGGATGATTAACACGTCTGTAATCCCCCAGTTTAACTTATCACGTTTGCTCAATGTTGTGAAGTTTTTGAAAGAGGATCTCTAAATAGTTTAAACATGAATCATTACTTGGAAGAGTAATAGTTTATGTTCTATGTTCTGTCACACACCGATTGATCCAGCCAACCATCTGATTTTTGGCACAGTTTCTACAGAGCAATCATCTCCATCGACATGGGTGTGGTCAGATAGGGCTGTGTTAAAGTGCCAGCATGTCACAGAGAGTTAGCATGGGAACGGTGTTTAACCTGAGGCAGCAACTTATAGATTTTTGTTTATAGTCGTGAGGTTTGGGCCAGACTGAGATTTCATTTACTGTCTTCCCCAAAAAGGCACGTCTGAGCAGCCTGCAGGAACACATAACAACCAGCTTTCTGAGGAATAGCAACAGTCCATAGGTCTGATAGTGGAAAAAAAACAGAGACAATTTATCTCTGTATGCGATGTTTTAGAACCGCAACCTATTATGCTGTTTGTTTGCATCAGAAAGCATTCGTCTTGCTTATACAGTATAGTACATGGCTAAGGGAAGGCATGGAGCCAATCCCAAGCAAACAAAGGACACCTTGGAAAGGATGCCAGTCCACATAGGTGTATTATGGGCAATTGAGACACACAATTTAGCCTAACTGCATGTCCTTGGACTATTGAAGGAAACTGGAGTCCTCAAAGGAACTCACATGATGCAGGGGGAATATGCAACCTCCAGAGACACAGAAAAAAAACATGAAAACTGACGACTGTCAAATCCCAACAACCTCAATATTCTCCATATGTGACTTACAACATTTTTGATGATCACCCCACTAACCGAAGTATTTACCTTCAGAAGCAATTTTATTTTCCATCCGGGTCCATTGTTAGGTCTGGTGTCAGCTTCTTGGTGTGCGGTATGATAACATGGCTACTCCTGCTGCCACAGCAGACAAAACAATTTCTGGCAGCTTTGTCTACGCCGTCCAGTGTTTGGGTGTTGGCAGACATAAACAAACAAAAGTCTCCACGGTGATTGTTTGATACTTCACTATTGCTTAGGAAATGACAAACCAGAGGAAAGGTGAAGGTTTTGGCTGTAGCACGTGCTGCTTACATTTATATTTTATTCATTTAGCAGATACTTGTAGCCAAAGTAACATATGAGAGAGCCAGGTAATACATTACATGCATGGATGGTACTTGTGTTTATGTGCTGTGGTTTTATACTTGTATTTACGTGCTGTGGATTGTACTTGCGTTTATGTGCTGTGGTTTATATGTTGCGGCGGATCCAGTTCGACACTGCCGGGTCTTGTCACACCTGTTGCAGTGTGTCTCTCCTCCACAAGCGACCGGAATGTTCCGCTCGCCATTTCCTTTCCTTCCCGCACGCTCATGCCCATATACGGTGAGGAGCTCAGGCGGTAAACGGAGGGCACGGGCCTCGCGGCGCACGCCTCCTGCTCCCCCCTCTCCTCCCTGTGAGATGGAGGCCAGATGCCTGCTGGCCCTCGAGCCTGTGATGTCACCGCCGGCCTGCCCGTCTCCTGCAGCACGGCCGGAGCACCGCGGAGCGCCGGGAGGGGGGAGGGGGGAGGCAGAGAGACAGCAGGGGAGCTCCCGCAGTCTCAGCTGTCTGTGTAGCGCGCTGCTCTCCTTTGGGCGTGGCCACGGTGAGACAGCCTCAGCTACACCCCCTTCCCACCCTAAAGCACAGCACCAGCTGTATCCCACCATCATGTTTATTGCACGATCCGTCATGCTTCTACACATGCGGTTATAGTAGTTTATACTATGGGAACAAACGAATGAGGAAATGCACAGGTCACATGATAGCCGGTGAATTTAAGGGACAGACAGTTATCCAAGGGGTCTGACATATAGACGTAAAACATCAGACTGAACTTCCCCCCAGTTATCACTAGGGATTACATCATAATTAGTCCAGCCTTGCAGTAATGCTCATTGCCTATACAAACTTAATTTTTTTTATATCCATATTCTTAAGCATAAGAAAACCGAGTCTAGCAATACATGGCTTAATTCTATTTTCATTACCTTGAAATTTCTGCTGAAATGTGACAAATAACATCACAGACACTACACATATCTTGAAAATACATCTTTGGTGAAACAAAAGGTGGTCTACATTACTTATGAATTATTATTTTTCTATTTGTCTCTACAATTCGAATAATAATGAGGGTATTTAAAAACTAGTCAGCATTTCTTAATTATCATTTGGAAAAATGTAGGTCTTTTTTGTTTATTTGGAAAAAAAACACGAATTTGAATCACGGAATTTGTTTTGCACTATTATTTGGTAGGTCCTGTGGATGAAGTCTGATGTTTCACTAGTACTCAGAATGTCTGAACCTGCGTATGCGTATCTGATAAAGAGTGTGTGCTCAGCTTAGACATCATAACAATCAACACGCTCAGGAAATCGCTGCTCTCCAGGGAAACAGTGACATGATGCATTCCTCCCTGACAACAGGCAGGAGCCCCAAACGGGAGTGAATCAGCCTTCCGGAATGCCTGATGACAGCAACGACAACATGAAAAAAGGCACCAGGAATCTCTCACTCCCCCACGTCATTGTGCCTCATTACTGAGGGGGACGATGTCGTCATTCCCTTGCTAAGTAAACAATGAAATTCCACAACCATTAAATAAAAATATGCATTGCTAGATCTGTTTTCTTTAGCTGAGCAATATGCTTAAGAAAGTACATTACTGGGTGAAAGAAAAATGTGCATTCCTCATATGAATGCAAAAAAATTAAAATGTGTATTGGCAATGAGCATTAATGCAAAGCTGGACTAATTATAATGCCGGTAACTGGGGGGAAATTCAGTCCGACGTTTTACCTCTATGTCTCTGACCCCTTAGACAACTCGGAGACCTAGGGAGAGACCTACTCTGTGTGTTTAAGCCTGGTTTCTGAGCAAAGTGCCAAATGCACGGTGTTAGGGGCAGAAAGAGAACCTTAACATAGCTATATAGCTAGTTTACATAAGCCCTAAATCAGTCGGGCGGACCAAGAATCACTCTCCTGCCATCATAGAGTCTGCAGGCACTGTGACTGAGATAAGCCTTCATCTGGAGAAGGGCTTTGCCCTCTGCTGCCTGCCCAGGCTCTGGCTACAGCCAAGCTGCACCGTCTCAGAACTGCTGACTGCCGTGGGCCTCCCATTGCATTGTGGGAATTCAACTTCACACCGAATCCAAGGCCTGTTCTTAGTGGGAGAAGGCAACCGTTGAGTTGTTATTAGGAGCGAGAGACCCTTCTCACAGTGGACTGTCTGTGCATTTGGAGATGAAGCATAGATGCAAAAGTGTAGAATGGAGCAGGGGGATGGAACTTTCTGGAAAACACGGAAAAGCCTTTTAAGGCTTCTTGTGTAATGAGAGTGTTTTCATAGAGTGCGCAAATACCCTGTAGTATCTCTGTGGCCAAAGAATATACCTGCTTATTTCTGATTGGAGGAAATGTCCTTCAACAGTAACACTATTTTTTTCTTATCAAATGTACTAGCTTAATATTGCTGCTTTTCTTTATCCAAGATTTTCCAGGAGATTGGTATATATATTACTGACACTTCCAGGGTGGGGGTTTGAGTTCATTGGCATTCTCTTTGTATTCTTGTGGGTATGCAGGTTCTGGCTCCCTGTCCTAAGTGTGGGTGTAATTGTTTACTGTAAAATTACACTTGAGTATGAGTGTGTGTGACTCCGTATCTGTGTATATGGGGCCTCGGGGTCTATTGTATGTGTCCATCTGCCGGTTTATATGTGGCGCCCAGATTAGCGCAGGCAGGTTTAGAGGGATTGGATATTGGATATATTCAAGGACACTTCACAAGACTCTCACAGCAGGCATCCAGCTGGGATTTGAGCCCAGTTCTTTAATTGCTAATTTTTAATATAAGCTGACAACAAACAACCTTCTCTTTCGCCTACAGAAATTCAAATAGTTTTTTTTTCTGTGAAATTGTTAGGAATTTAGCTGGTCTTGACATGTGTCTAGGTGGCTTCTGTCAGTTGTGTGTGATCACTGTTTGAACTTGCCTGCAATGTAATGTAGTGCCTTGCTAATGTATCTTAGCCATCAGAAAATTTATGCAATTAACTGTTTTTCTTTCCAAGCTTTATTTTTGGAAAATTTCAAACAACTTTCCCTGTGATGCACTAGCATCCGTTTCAGGATGTCCCCCAGCCTTGTGCCCTACTCTATGCTGCCTGAGACAGACTCCAGACCTGCCATAATTAGTTGGAAGATGAATACTCGCAGAGGCATTGAATCCCTACATGTTATGAAAACATCCATTTGAACCAATAACAGGGGCCAGACATCTTCCAGCTTTGCACACAGGCTTAGACTGACTTTTGCTCATTCATTGCTTATTGGATGTTCTTCACATCTTTCAAGTTGCATAGATGGTGCTTCCGGACCCTATAAAATCGTGTCATATGTTTTCAGTGAGATTGATAGTGGAATATTGACAGGGCCACTGAAGAACTGCCATTTTTTTTCTACCTCTTGGCCTCTCCAATGTTACTTTGGCCCAGTACATCAGTGCCCTGACAAAATTCCTAAAGGTACATGACAGGTACAGTACACTTTCTAACAGATGTAGACTAGACTAGCCCTGACATTTTTTTTCACTTCAGTCTATACTTTGCTCTTTCAGCCCTAACAAGATGCTTAGTCCCTGCTGAAGACAGGCATCCTTAGAGAAACACGCCACCACTACATTTCACGGAAGAGTTTCTTCTGGCATATGTCAGCTTTGTACCTTACATAGAGCTTTCAATTGTTGCCCACAATCTCCTGTGTGTTATCTGACCACAAAATCTTCTCCCACACCTTAGTTGGGTTCCTCTTATGCCTTCTGTGAATCTCCCGGCTTCGCTTTGACAGGAGCCTCCGATGTTGCCGCCTCCTATACAGGCCAGTCTTACACAGAGTCCTTTGTGTTGTTGACTTTAGACTCTCCTCTGTTCCTTGTTTACACCCTGAATTTCACTGCTTCCTTTCCTACGCAGTGCTTGTGTGATGTGGTGCAGTTGCCTATATCTAATCACTGGGATGGTTTTGTACCACTCTCCCAGTGCCGCTCAACCCATCAGGCGACATAAGGCAGCCACCTGGTTCTCCATCTTCTGAGGGGTTCTGACATAGCAAGCCAGTTTCACTTTATCTTGGATGGTGCATGGTGTTCTACATGCTCTTCACACCCACAGGAGGTCTCACATCCTCTGTGTTTCCTGCACAGAATCTCACAATGCCTGACCACTGAACTGTAATCAAAGTGGCTGGAAATTGTGACTCTCGGTTCGTTGTTACACAGGTAGAATCCAGAATTATACCAAGTTATCCCAAGAAGCACATTTACATTTATTTAGCGGATTACTTTCTCTAAAGTGATGTTCAAGTGAGAGAGTAGGGTCAGCCAATCACTGGAGCAGTTTGGGTTAAGGGCCCAATGGTGGCATCACTCTGCCAAAGACCTTCTGGGTCCTATCGCACAGAACTACACAGCGCCCTCTAATGGCATGAGGCAGATGACGCGCCCTACAGGATGTGAGCCCAGCATACACTCTCACACACAAATAACAGGTTACAGATACCAGCTCACCTGGGGAACATGTTCACTCCGCCCACCTGTAACGAAAATTAAATCATAACCCCGTCCACGGAGTGGTGTCACGGTCAGCTGCCATTCCAATTGGCCAGGGTGTCCCTTATTATTTAATTTGATCAAGCACAACATGAAATAGCACAGAGGTCTGAATACTTTTCCAAGGTCCTTCATGGTATTTTTGGAATATTCATTTTAAACAACCAAGATAAGTCTCTTTTGTTATGTTACATTAACTTGTTGCTATAAACAAAGTGTGTTTGAGCTGGCTCAGCTATCATGTCTTCCCAGAGGTTTAAAATGTGAATTTTCATGACTCTCTCTTTCCATCTTGAGGCACTTAACAGCTATTTGTTTATTTGCTTAGTCATGAAAAATCCAAGTTTGGCCAGATTTCTGTTTTTGGGCCTACGGGCCAACATACATAGTTACAGTAGTTTAATTAGATGGTTCAAAGACCTTAAAAGTATAAATTTATTTTATCTAAGAAGGGTTTTGTTTTTTAGTAGCCAGTCTCAAATGAAATTTCTAAGTTTTCTTAAACTGTATTAGATAATGAGGCAATGTTATAGTAAGGGTATCTATGTCTATTTCCAGCAGTAGGATTAAAATAACCACATAATTTGGTTTATGGTGCCCTCTGGTGGCATTTGTGCAACTATACATTATGAGTGAAACCTGTGAAATGTAGAGAGTAAACCCAAAAAGATTTTTGGTCTTCATGTATTTAAACGTAGGACATCATGGTGGTGCAGTGACAGGAACACTGTCACCTCACAGCTCTAGGGTTGTGCAGGTTTCTCCTCAGGTGATATTGTATCTCTTAGGTGAAATGGTATAGCTAAATTACAAATAATGTGTGTGTGTGTGTGTGTGTGTGCGCGCGTGTGTGTGTGCGTGTGTGCATGTACTGTAATTATCTGGCTCCCCCTGCAGGATGTTTTCTTGCCTTGCAGCTGCCGCCAACATACTGGAGCTAATCCTGTTAGTTTATTGCAGAGGCAAGGACTCAAATCACTTGACTTGCAACTCAACTCGGACTCGAATCACAGATTTGATGACTTGTGACTCGAGTTGGCAAAAATTATGGAGAGACTTGGACTCGATCAACTTGGATTTGAGGGCAAATGACTCAGATTTGCACTGTATTGATTTGAGGCTTGACTGGGACTCACCAAGGAGTGACTTGTTCCAATCTCTGGTTTATGGACAAGTTTGTAGAAAAATGTGTAGAAGAAAAGAATTAAAAGTTCTAGCGGCCGAGTCCCCATTTGTCGAAAGCTTATAAATAAGCTGTAAATCTGTAAATCAAAGGTGAACAAAATCCATCCATCCATCACCACTTAAGCCCTACTGGGGTTACAGGGGGGACTGGAGCCTATCCTGGGAACAATGGGCACAGGCAGGAACCAATACACTCACAGGACCAACTTAGAGTTGCCAATTAAACTGCCCTGCACACCTTTGGACTGTGGGAGGAAGCTGGAACCCCTGGCAGAAACCCACGCAAACACAGGGAGAGCATGCAAACTCCACACAGAAAGGTTCTACAGCAGACCCAGGGATCAAACCCAGGCCCTCCTTGCTGTGCGGCAGCAGTACTAACCACTGCACCACCATGCCACCCTGAGCTAAATGCACTCATGTAAAATCAAGGCGTGTTAGCAATGACATGCACGGCTTAGACAAGCCTTGATCGAGGAATGATGTGATTTGTTCTGAGACCCTTTTGGTCACCAGTCCAGGCTACTCTCTTTTTCCATTCAGGGAGGGAATCTGTTCCTTCTTCCCAGGTGATGGACAGCTCCATGCCATTGATAGGGGAGCACGTGGAGGAAGACAAACAACTAATCGCAGACTTAGTGCTGACCAAGATGGCCACCCTGCTGACTGGTTCTTGCTCTCCTGAGATGTCAATGGGCAAGGTGATGCAAAAAATCCTCACCCTTCTCTCATTGTTACTGCCCATGCTGATTAACTTTGCATGATGCACTTCAGTTTAAGTCTTTATTTTTTTTTTTACCTTATTGTTACCTTATTTTTTATACATGAGGTTGACAGGCTTTTATTGAGGAAAACATAATTTGGAATGTTAACACAAGAAGATGACTTTCAAAAAAAAAAATCAGAGGTGGACATTTCAGGTCCAGAAAGTAAAAATTTATATCAAAGGTTTGTTTCAACCAACCAGTTGAGTACTCTGTCACTGTGACTCTTTATACTCAACTGGTTACTAGAAACAAAATCCTTATCTGAATTTTTATGTTCTGTGCCTGAAATGTCCACATCTGGAAAAAAAATGCTGAGTATAGTTATACTGTAATAGGAGGTTGGGAACCCCTGTGCTAGAAGTATTGTTGATGGTGCTGTGAACATAGTGATATTTCATTGAACATGAGGATTGTTCAGTATATTATCTGTTCCAACAACAGGTGCAACCCCAGACGACCCAGCCCAGGAGGGCCCAAGGTGAGTCAGAACTCCTTATATGTCTTTTAGGTTTATAACCAAATCAATTACAATTCCCAGTGCACCTGGACTCCCTTGTATGTCCTGCTGTTGTTAAACTTTTTCATCAGTCATGAAATAACAGGATACAGGGGCCACATAATTCATATGCTAGTAATTGTATGGTGTGTTTAAGCACTGTGGCAGTGTGCTTGCTGTGTGCTGCCTTTGTATCTCTTGAATCTGAGTGATGGAAGTATTTATGTGCTTGACCTGGACGTTTACTACAAATGGTCTCACACAAAGTATCGGTTTATCTGCTCGAGTGAATGTGCACAGGCTGGACAGACTGCTGTCATGCATTTGGCATGGTCTAGAAAAGCAAATGTTGCCGGCAATTTTGTGGTCACTTAGGTGTTGTCCTTCCTGCTGGCGCAGGTGGCCCCCGCTCAGCCTCGGCGTCCCCCGGCCACTCAGCCCAGGGTTCCCCGCAGCGTGCCCGCTCGGCCTCCACGTCGCCAAGCCAGGCCTTCCAGCCTGGGCCTCTCCCAGCGTCATCCGGCCGAGGCGCAGCCACACAGAGGCAGCTGCCTCAGCTCAAGTACGTGCTGCTTCACCAAGTCACCGAGGCCTGTGTAAACAATCACAGAAATGTCCTACAGAGCCTCTGATAATTCCTTAATGGCTTCCTAAATTAGCCTTACCTCAATGTCTTTAATCACAGTAATGGTTTAATCAGCAACAAAACCAAAGGCCAATATAATTATGTGAATAAATTAAATAATGAACAAATTACTTAATAACTAGTGCAACCTGACCTCTAGTTCTGCTTTTAAAGCAATATTTTAAGCTGGCAAGTTATCCATCAAGCATGATTACATTTCAAGCTATTTCAGGCATATTGTAATTAGCTTTAGTCTGAAGGCATGTACTTTATCCTCTTATCTGAAATGGTCTTACAGAAACCTCACTGATTCATTCTGAATATTTCTTTCCAGTAACAAACACTTGCACGAGACAGGTCTTCCCAAATAGAACACATATTCCAAACAAGTATATGCTAATGCAGTGTTTCTTAGCCCAGTGCTTGAAGAGCACCAGACAGTCCACATTTTTACTCCCCCTCATCTCCCAGCCAATCAAGAACTCCAAATATCTGGTATAGGTCCTTTGGGAGCGGGGAGGGAACAAAAAAATGGACTATCTGCAGGTTCCCGAGGACTGAGAAACAAAACTTTAATGTAAGCACAGCAAAATCTTAGTTTGTTAAATTATATAGTTTGTAAAGCATTTATCTTTAGAGACACTTAAGGTGGTGGGGCATTCCCTATGCAAATTCTGGAAATCTCTATAAAGTAGTAAGTTGTGTTTGATTGATGTTACTGTACTTTTTCTTGCTAACGTTATTCAGGTTAAAGCCCCTGTAGCTGTCTGTAGCTATTACCTAAAGTGATGAATTCCATCCTTTCACATAGCTGTTGTTCAGTTTATGAAGGGAAGTGACTCAGCCAGTCCTAACCACCATGCGACATCCTGCTCATCCTTCTAAATGTCCCACATGATATTGGAAGCCTGGTTTATCCATACTGTGCTGCAGTCGAGCGAAATTCATCTTGTTGTTTCTGCAGCAAGTCCCGGTCACTGACCAATGACTTTGGTGCGAGTGAGACCATGCGCAGCAACACCAGTGAGGACGAGGCCAAGGCCGAGAGCATCCGCAGCCTCAGGCAGTCCTTCGCCAGCCTCTTCTCGGACTAGCTGCTAGCAGTCCTGCCCATCCCCAACGATCCACCTACTTCCCTTCCTCCTCATCGTCTCCACGGAGAGGTGCTGCCGGGAAGTTTCCGACGTGCCCAGAAGGGTGCCTGTATATCTGCGTCTAATTGCCTTCGTTTACTCTTCGCCCAAAGTCATCATTATGCCAGTCAACAGGTCGTACAGGCTTCAAATTTCACTCCAGCAGTTGATGAAGGTCAGCAATGTGTACACACACAGCAATACAGGTCAGAAGTGTTATCAAGCGGTTCACTATATAGGGTCTACGTCAACCAATTAACTCCCGATGGCTTCTTTCTCTCCATGGAGTGAAGTAGTGCATTACTGATTATGGTGCAGCTAACAGCCAGATTTGCTGCTGGTTTTTTTTTCCATTTTTAATGACATTTGCAGGTTGATTCATGCTTAGCCACTAGCTTGGGATCCAGTGGAGCCACAGTGGAAGCACTGCTCCTTTCTGTCACTGCAATCTGGAACCATCTAGGACAGAAAAGAAAAGACTATTTCTGCGTTAATTGACTTGCAAATACCAACCAAACATACAAAGCTAGAATATTATGAAATTCGGCTTTGAGCAGTCTTCCATCGCAGCTCAATCCCTTGATCATTAGACATGGTATTAACGACACTGTGCGCACTGCATTGTAAATAAATCGCCAAAGGGGTTTTTCTACGGTTTGGATATTTATGTCTCTGCTAGAAATTTCTTGAGCCATAAAAGTTGAACAGCTGTTAGCGCTGAGGAGCTAAAACCGGGAGGTCTTCGCTCTGCTGCTTGGCCTCCGCCGCTGTCAGCTACTTTGAAGCCTTAATTTAGGAAGCGCCCACTTCGCCTGCTGCTTATCAGTCAGGAGATGCCTTGCAGTTGGTCCCTTTGGATTGTATACATTACCAAGAGTATGTATGTGTACAGTATGAATATGACAAAAGCATTTCCTGTGGGTGCCGATGGTGAATTCATGCAGATGGGCAAATCAGATCGGTGAAATTGTTTGTTTGTTTGTTTGTCTTTATGCACATTTTGCCAGCATTTTCAAACATTATTTAACTGGGATCTGGTTTCACTAGTAATCACACTGGAATTAGTGATTATTCTTGTCTGTTTTAGCAGACAGGATAATAAAGACCCTTCTGCCTTTCCTCTGTAATTCCTGCATGCACTATTTTAACCCTCATGGCAGTTAAGGGCCATTTCCGCTGAAATTGTTGTTTTCAAATGTTAGGTCTCCACTTATGAGTGTTGAACCTTAAGTGTGGTCACCTTGTTTCAGTGCGTTGTTTATGATATTGATAGTTTGATTTATTAACTTATTTATTAACTGTAACTTTTTTTTGGGAATGTTGAATATTAATTGTATGTAACATGAAGATTTTAATCCTTACCTTCTTAAGTTACTAATTTCTTTTCAACTCTAATTTATACAATATTTTTAGTATTTATTTTGAATTTGACTGAAATGTTGACATGGATTGTAAGTTGAGTGTACCGCATGATTTTATGTGTTTCAATGGCCATTACTGAATCAAGGTATTGGTTGTTGGTTCTGAGAAGAGTTTTGTCTTTTGATGAGCGGTCTCTGTATGTGCATCGATGTTTGACTTGCCAATGTTTGTCAAGAAGGACCAAATTTTATGCTGGAATAGTGAGACACTTTCACGTCTTTGTAATTCACTATGGGCTGAGCTGATAACTGGACAGATTTCTTCATAAACAGTCAAATTAAGTCTTCTGTATGCATTATAAAAGCCATAATATTACAGAACTGGAAAATCTGACATAGTCATGAATTTATTTTATCACTCATTTGGTGGAGGACATGTCCGGTGTTTTGGTTCTGAATGTCCCTTGGATTACTGTATGGTCTGTTCCTCACTGTAATAAGGGTGGACCATAGAAAACCACGTGTGCTCATTATATTTATGCATTAAATAGAAATAGATTGCTTTAGAAAGGGGTGCATTTTCATGGTGTCTGTCCCTTTAAGAAGTTCTGGATTTATGCTTTTCTGTAAACAAAGTCCATTCCCATTTAATTGATGATGGTGTATTGAGAGACATATTTGTCCATCGGTGAATCTAGTTTGGACCATACTGCCTGAGATACTACCTCACAGCCATCAGTCTCATCACATTATCAAAGCCATATTTTTTGTGTTCCTCGTGAAACACTTTTTTCTGATTAAAAATAAAGAATCACACGTACGGAATTTGTGTTCTTGCCAGGCCAACAGTGAACAGGGCAGCCAGAAATGCCTGTAGCTCTTTATAACATCCTTCATTTTCCAACCTGTGAGATACAGGTATCCATGAATCATTGGCTATACTAGATTTCATTCCCTGCTTGCTATGCTCTGGCAAAGGGACATATAATTTGCAAGCGTTCCCATCAAAATAACCTTCCTCAGTAACTGTTGTAGCAGATGTGGATTTAACAGCGCCATGACGGTTCCACCTTCAGATTTTGTCATTCGATTTACGGCTGGATTTCCCGCGACCGCACTCATAAATAGGCTCATCTGAATCTGCTGTGTATATTATCTGCCTCTCTTGAAGTAGTGAAGTGGACTGCTGTATATGAGTATGTAGACAAATAGGCGTGCTGCACATGGACCCAGGTTCTACGCTCTTCTGTTCTTCTGCCTTGGTCCAGATGCTCCTGTGTAATATGTGTAATTCATCCTGTCTGTGTAACTGTGAAATGGGCCATTTGGTTTTTGGAGTTAAACGATTAAAAAAGACCTTGTTTAATATAACGTGAACACATGTACTTTTTTGGTTATGAACTGTAGTTCTGGGATTAACACCATATAATTACATCAAAGTGATGTAACAGTCTGCGACACAAGTACCCTGTCAAAATTAAAAAGGTGCAAGAATGTCCATCCTGGCACCAGAGTTTGAGTCTCTGCCAGGGTTCCATGTGTGGAATTTGCATGTTCTCCCTGTGTTGTTGTGGGGTTTCCTCTTGATAACCCTGTCCTGCCCCCCTCCCCCCCCCCATTCCAAAAACATGCTGAGGTTAATTGGAGTTGCCAAATTGCTCATAGATGTGCAAGTGTGAGTGAATGCTGTGTGAGTGTGTGACTGTGTGACTGTGAGTGAATGCTGTATGAGTGTGTGAGTGTGTGACTGTGAGTGAATGCTGTGTGAGTGTGAGTGAATGCTGTGTGAGTGTGTGACTGTGTGAATGTGAGCGAATGCTGTATGAG